TCCCCCCTTTAGTCCTTTATATACAGAGGCAGGGGCACCCCAGAGACACACAAGTTGATCCACGTGATCTATTCCTTAGCCGTGTGCGGCGCCCCCAGCCACCATAGTCCTCGATAATATTGTAGCGGTGCTTAGGCGAAGCCCTGCAGCAGTAGTACGTCAAGATCGTCACCACGCCGTCGTGCTGACGGAACTCTTCCCCGACACTTTGCTGGATCGGAGTCTGGGGATCGTCATCGAGCTGAACGTGTGCTAGAACTCGGAGGTGCCGTAGTTTCGGTGCTTGATCGGTCGGATCGTGGAGACGTACGACTACATCAACCAAACGCTTCCGTTGTCGATCTACTAGGTATGTAGATCATACTCCCCCTCTCGTTGCTATGCATCACCATGATCTTGCGTGCGCGTAGGAATTTTTTTGAAATTACTACGAAACCCTACATCTGGATACCCATGTTGGCCACATGCTCCATGATGATCTCATCGGATGAACCACGATGTCGAGGATTCAATCAATCCCGTATTCAATTCCCTTTGTCTAGCGGTACGATACTTGCCCGAGATTCGACCGTCGGTATCCCGATACCTTGTTCAATCTCGTTACCGGCAAGTCTCTTTACTTGTTCCGTAACACATCATCCCGTGATCAACTCCTTGATCACATTGTGCACATTATGATGATGTCCTACCGAGTGGGCCCAGAGATACCTCTCCGTTTACACGGAGTGACAAATCCCAGTCTTGATTCGTGCCAACCCAACAGATACTTTCGGAGATACCTGTAGTGTACCTTTATAGCCACCCAGTTACGTTGTGACGTTTGGCACACCCAAAGCACTCCTACGGTATCCGGGACTTGCACAATCTCATGGTCTAAGGAAATGATACTTGACATTAGAAAAGCTTTAACATACGAACTACACGATCTTTGTGCTAGGCTTAGGATTGGGTCTTGTCCATCACATCATTCTCCTAATGATGTGATTCCGTTATCAACGACATCCAATGTCCATGGTCAGGAAACCGTAACCATCTATTGATCAACGAGCTAGTCAACTAGAGGCTTACTAGGGACATGGTGTTGTCTATGTATCCACACATGTATCTGAGTTTCCTATCAATACAATTCTAGCATGGATAATAAACGATTATCATGAACAAGGAAATATAATAATAACCAATTTATTATTGCCTCTAGGGCATATTTCCAACACATCCATCTCAAGAGAACCCCCACAATTATCCTCATATGTAACACCAAAACGGTTCTTCTTGCACAAGTCAACTGCCAATTTATGTAAGATATCGTGCATTCTGAATTCTTTCATCCTACCAAATGAGTTCCTCTCAACAAGTTGTAACATGTTCCTATCAATCAACTCCTTCAAATAGCCTTCTGCCACTTCTTCTAATGTGCTTTCACCCCTTCCCTCAATGAACCCCTCAGCTATCCATAACCTTACAAGTTCCTTCCTTTTGGGAAGATGGTCTTCTGGAAATAAGCTGCAGTACAAGAAACAACTTTTCAAGTGTGTTGGAAGGTAGATGAAGCTCAGATGTAAAACATTGCTTATCTGATCGAGCCTCGAATTATTATTTAGCTCCCAACTCAACTGACCATTTATTATTCTCCATTCTTCCATAGTTTTCTCACGCACACGCACGAGGCTACCAACTAACACAATAACAAGAGGCAAGCCTTTGCATTTGCTAACTATTTGCTCAAACCAAGACTTCAACTCCACGGGACATTCATGGTTGGTATCTCTTGGAAAGGCTTTCTTACAAAAGAGATCCCATCCCTTGTCTTCTGGTAAAGCTTCCAATGTTAAGATGTGTCCTCGAGAGGCCAGTGCAGCAACATCACATTCTCTTGTTGTGATTATTAGTATACTGCCCTTATCATTATGAATAAGCACCCTAGACATTTCATCAAATGCTTCTGGAGTCCAAATATCATCCAATATGATTAAATACTTGTGTTGTTCTAGAAACTTGTTCAATGTCTCCTCAAGGCATGTGATGTCCATATCTGTAGTGTTTGATAGAATGTTGGCTTTATTATCTTTGGAAAGTTCCTTACTTCTATTCCTTAAGACATCCTCTCTAGAATACGTTTGAGAGATGGAGACCCAAGCATGGCACTCTTCTTGTAGACATTTCTAGCTAAACCTGTTTTACCGAGTCCTCCCATTCCAAGCAGCGCAATCACTGAGCATTTCAAATCATCACCTGCCAACCACTGTTCAAGTCTTTCTCTGTTTTTATCCACTCCCACTAGATCTTCATCAAGGGAACGTGAGAAGTTTGCTAGATCTTTGGACCTCTTGACAATATAATTCAAGTTGCTAGTATCCCCATTGATTGTCACTGGAACAAAACAGTTTTTTGCCTCGGACAAGTGTGAAAGGTCTTTCTCTATTTCCTTCACCTTGAAAGCTATCCGGTTCAAAGAAAGCATAGATCTCGGCTTTTTGCATCCTTTCTTCAGGTAAAAGCAACATCCTATATCATGTTCCCTACCAACTAGACACAGGTACTCATCCACTACATCCTCCATCACATGTGCTACTTTCCTCGCCTCCTCCAACCAGCCCTCATACACTTGATTGTTGCGGTTTTGTATGCCCATTTGGCAGAGAACATCATGCATTATGCGAAGCTCACTGGCAACACTGCCCATGTTGCCCTGTAGCTCTAGCAGTTGTGTCCTGTACTTCGCAAATTGTGTGTTTGCCTGATCTACCACTCTAGTCGCCAAGGCTATTCCAATCTTCTTAATGGTCAGAAAAATCACAATCTCCGCCATTATTTTCCGAGAATTGCCAATATTTCACTACTGTGTGGTGGTCTAGCTGTATATTTTCCACAATACCATTGCAATGGCCACTGCAAAATGATGTGATACATTAACCTGACTATTAATGCATTGCGCTAGTAACAAGCACTTGTGAAATATTTCAAAAATCTCAAACCACAATGGAAAGGTGAAATACACATCTTCTCTCAACGTAATCCTCATAAACCACAATGCCAAAGTAATACTCATAATGATTTCACAATTAACTTATCTAACTCTAACTTACGTAATGTCATAATCAAACAAAATAGTACTTATGACAGGCAGGTCCATGAGAATTCTAAAGCAGTAGAGACTGTGCTATAGTCGAATGTGATAAACTTAATGTTATTGACCAGAAAAAATGAGTGATACTAAATAACTGACCATGCATGCTCCGCTTCGAAATAGAGATATCTCAGCTTAAAAGTCCCCCAAATAAGTAGTCAAGTAGTCAACTGTAGCAAACTTAATTTTACTAACTGACAAGAACGAGTGACAGGGAAATGACCTTTCATACATGCATCGTTTCTGTATAGGATATCTCACTTAAAATGCCCCCACAGCATGTTTGGTTGGGGGTAGTTAGAGCTAGGGAATGGGAATTGAAGGGGTACGAGACTTCAAATCTATTGTTTGGTTAAGGGGATTGGGAATTGATAAGGGAATAGTCATGGGACTTGAGACTCCAACTCCCACCATTTTATTAACAGGGGAGGGGGTGGGAGTTGTAAGGGAATTGTTTTAGTGAGTCAATCTTAGCCCTTCATCATAATTTACGTTAATTTCCCTTGTCTATTTTCTTGTCAATTCCCACAAACCAAACACGGGAATACAATTTCTCATCAAACTCTCACACATAATTTTCATTATGCGCCAAACAGAGGATTGGGAATAAAACGACTCATCCCATGTCTAATCTCAATACAACTCCCTACATTAAACTCCCATTCCCCTTTCCCATTTTTTGCCAAACACGCTGCCAAGGTTTGAAAATACCAATCTGCCATACCAGCTAGCTCGCCAATATGAGAACTCTGCTTTTGGATAGTTCGCTAATGTGATCGTTCCAGGTAACTTAGTTCTCTATTTCCTCACTGTCTATCTAATATATCAGATGTATTGCAGAAACAAATAGCTGCAAGAAACAACATACATGCTTTTTATTTGAACTGAAGGAGATTCTTCCGAGTACAACCTTAAGATAGCCAGAAAACTAGGGAAGGACAACACACCTTCCTCTTCGTAGGTTAGGCCCAGGTTAGTCTTGTTAACCACCTTCTGCGCTTCTGAATCTGAAACCATCACAGCAATCTTGAAAAGAAGGTACTTGATGCTTGGCTGGTCTTCTTGTCACTGAAGCTTAATCGTGAAGATCCTGAGTCCTTATGGAGACATGGGTATAACTCAGCGCGTGGTAGCTTGTAACCGATGACAAGTGGCTGGATTTGATCTTCAAATCCTCCTTGTTCCTTTTAGCAGTGAAAACCAGAGAATCACCACCATACCTGGCTTATAATGGCAAGGAAAACTGCTTATTTTTCTGTAGCTCAGGCTACACGGTACCCCTTATCTTTGCCATCCATTTATGCATCAAGATCCGTACAAACACATTTGTCTTTTTTGTTTATCTCAAACGACACAACATATGAACTTCAAATTTTGCAAAACAACAATACATTCTAACTACAATATAGGAAAAAACTTTCAGATTTTTTCATGCATTTTAAATACTTGAAATAATATTTTTATTCAAAGAAAATCTCATTTTGTATATTTATATCAGACCAAAAAATCTGAAAGTTTTTTCACACATTGATGTTCTAATGTTTATTCAGTCTGCAATGTTGTTTCATTTTCGAGAAACAAAAAAGAGAAATCTTCTTGTTGTTAGTTAGTTGGAGAGTACGGATCTCAAAGCAAGGCTGTAGGGTTGAGGATAAGAGGTTCCATGTAGCCTGAGCTACAAAGAAACTTTGTGATCGACTAAGCTACCCAGGATATTTACAAGAGAACTAGGAACAAAACCAAATCAAGGTCAACACACCTGGCTTTTAATCGATGTAGATCCATCAAGATTTGGACCTGTGGTGGCCTCCTCCTTGCGCACTTCAGGATCTGAAATCACCAAACAGTGTCATGGCTTGGTGATTGGGGAACGCTTAGTCTAGTTGTTGAAGCCATCAAGAAGCAGCCAAACAACCAGACAAAGCTCATACGACCCTAATGTGTTTCTGAGAAAAGCTGGAATGATGATGGACAAACTCTTGCTTCTCTCACCAACCCAATAATTGCTCTTACCAACCCTTGAGATTTCTTAATCCAAACTTTGGAGAACAACTCAAGATGACCAGCTCAAGGAAGGCATCAGGAAGCAGGCATCGTTAGTATAAAATGACACCATCCTAGTATTATCTTTGCCGTAGTACCTGTCTCCACTCACCATGAAATTGTTATTAAATAGAAAACTTTGGGTCTTTGTGGATAGTTTAAGGATGATAGTTGGTGATGGCAGCAGGTGAAGCTGTACAAAATGAGCAACTCCGGATGCTGAATTTGGTTCATTGTTCAGGGTCGGCGGCCGCTAAGAAATACAAAAATGCGCAATTTTGTTCTTCAGAAGTGTCCCCACTGTAGGTAAATGAGATCGATAGCATGTTTCCACCGACATTGCGCCTTAATTTCCTCGAGGTAGTATCCCGTCTGACCACAATTGCCATATGACACGTTTTATTTTTTCACTAGAAGCAACATCAAATCAAGTCAAATAATTTGCCGTGGCTAATACTGGTAATCAAAGCTTACAGATCAAGAGGGCAACGCTTTGGGGGGTGCTTAATAATTAATTAAAGGTCGAGCTCGTGGTTACAGAGGACAAAAATAAAACCACGGCGGAGGTATCAGTATGACCTCCGGCACGAGCTCCCGCACTCGTATTGTAGGTCGTCTATTGCTCTTTTACTTTAGCAGCTTTGCGTTGGTTAAAAAAACCTTTTGCTTTGGCTTGCAGTGGACTGTGGTACGACATATGGTACGTGCTCCCGCGCTCATACCGTAGGCCGTCTTTTGCTATGATTTTCCGAAAACGCCTGATTTCTTCCAGTCTGTTTCGATTTCCTTCTAACTTTCTCCTCAAAGATAATCTTGGAATATTAGGGTTTATAACCTTTGTAAAAGCCAAGGAAAAATGTCCTTGGCTCATTATCAATATATTGCCTTATCACTACCCATATGCCACCTTTCCACCAAACAGTAATCTACAGGATCAAGAAGGCATCATCTCTCATGGCTTCCAAGAACGCTCCATCCCTCTCCATTGTCAAGAAAGAGTCATCCCTTGCGAGCCCTTCTTCGAGCAACATCATTTCTCTCCCGAGTGGGAAGATATGATCCCTAAAATCTGGGAAGAACTTTGCAGGATGGGCGTCAAGGAAAAGAAGCGGTAGGACGTGAAGCCTGGAGAAGAGAAGAAAGAGGAGTATGAAAAAGAGAAGAAGGAAGAAAAGGAAGATGAGTATCATCCAAACCCCTACATGTACAATATTCAAGGATCGATCTCTTCCTAGATCTCCTCTGGTGCTTGCACCACGTGAACGTGAGAAGGAAGCACCAACCCCTGATGAGATAAATGAGAAGATCAACGAACTAGAGAAAGTTTCCAGAGCATGTGTTGATACAATTGGTGAAGTGATAGATGCTTATTGGATGATGAGCAAAAACCTTGAGAACAAGGTCAATGGTCTCTATATAATAAGATTGATGCCTTTGCTGATGCCACTACTAAGCTTTCTCTAGAGACTGAATTTCTAATGAAGGTGTTCTGTGAGCAGTAGAAGAAAATTTTAGGCATGCCATCTCGCTTCAATTGTTACTCTCACATGCACCATGAACAACGACAATCGACAACCTATTATGTCGAGGAAGCAAGTTCCATGATCAAGACTGAAGATGCTGCACCACAAAGTTTCCACTATCTGCACTCACGAGATGCAGCTATCACAAAAAGCGTAGAATTTCTCTAACAGAAAATGTACATGTTCAGGATCGAAACAATTTTCTGTACTGGCCTTGTTCAAGCTCTGCCTCATTCGCGAATGAGCCGACACAGGTAGGTTCTGGGTAAGTTCGTCTCTTCTCCCGTTTTTCCTTTGTTCTTTTTTGTTTTGTTTTTTCTCCTATTATTATTCTTGA